CTCGTTCTCTCTCTCTCTCAATAAATAAACAAAATCTTAAAAAAAAAAAAAAAAGATGAGTAAAAAGAGGTGGCCAGGTAAAAAGTGGGATATATCCAGGTGAGATCTGACAGGGCAAGGCATCAGTAGGAAAGTGCAAGAAATGTTGGACAGGGCTCAGCTCTGGAAGGGCAGAACCGTACAGGCATTTCTGTGCAAAGCTCAAGAGTTGGGATTATATCTAAGGGTAGCTGAGAGTCACTAAAAGATTTTAAGTGGGACAATAACATGAACAAATTTGTGTTTTTGAAAGACTGCTCTGGCAGTATCGTACACTGGAGAAAGATAAGACTGGACATAGGAAGACTACATTGGTCACTGGTAATAATAATCCAGGTAAGAAGTAGATGGGTGGAGGTGGAGAGAAACAGGACGTTCAAGAAATGTTAAGAAGGTAAAACTGACTTTTGGATCTTTGGATGTATGGGATAAGAGAGAAGGGCATGCCTGGAATGACCTCTAGGTTTTTGGCTTAGAGACTGATTTGATGATGATACCATTAATGAATGCCTAAAACAGAGTAGATTCATGATAAGTATGTGTTGGATGAACAGAGGACAAAGGATGAGGGCCAGGTTTGAAAGGAATAATTGGCTGTACCACATCAGACGTGCTGGTGGAACATGCTGGTGAAAGAGTCTGGACACAGCTGGCTATATGGGTCTGAAGCTCAGGAGAGAGGTCTGGACTGGAGACACCCTTCATGTAAAGACAACTGTATGTTGTATGGAGATGTTCTAAGCACAAATAGATGTTATCATGCAAATGTGATTATATGACCATGGAATCGACTGTGTTGTACCCTGTCTGGTATTTTCAGAGTAAGCATCTGTGCTGTAGACACCTTTGCCACAAATAGGGAGCCACAAAATTAATTAACCATAAGGCAATTTGCCATAAAATATTTTTTAAAAGATTTTAAAAAAAGATAAACTAGTTGATAGTTTGGTCTGACGGTTGGTTTCATCAACTGGTTGACAGTTTGGTTTCATTTCTCTGTTGACACAGTACTCCCATTTGTATATTACACAGATCTTAGCCTTCATAATTGTCTACACAGTGACACAGAGTTTTGAACCCACACAACTTCCCATACAACTTTGGAATGTCTATCGATGGACATGTGACAATCTGCCAAGAAAAAACAGTAGTGTAGAAAAGCTTTCACAACACAATACAAAGGTCAGTTACAAATATGTATCCTAGTATTTGGAAACTGATACCTCTCTTAATGAAGGAAGAAATTTTAGCAAAAAAAGAGAAAGAGTGATGCCAAACAAGGAGATGAATCAACAAGCAAAACAAAACAAAAACCAAAAACGTGTAATACTATGAATGAAAGACTTTGAAGACAAGTGCTTAGGTACAATCCACAAAATAAAATCAGTTATTTGTACAGTGTTGCCATGAAACTATTCTATACATTTTAAATTCAAATATATTGCATTTTGCAATAAAGCCATTTTTAATTTTGATATTCATTTTCCATTTTTCATTATGTCCTTTTTAATGAATGCCCTTTTATTTTTCATAATTTTTTCTTTTGTGGCAAAATTGCCTATGGCCAGTTAATCATGCAGTGAAAACGTTTGCAGTGAAAATGCTTGAGGCAAAGATTCTTAAGGCTTAACTACGTAGAATCACCTTATACAGAGTCAAAATGGCATCCCAGGTAATGTCTCCTCACCCTGCCGGTCCTAAGAGTGTTTGGAATCAGAGCAGAGAGAAGAGGGTCCCACTCTGGACTACATGGCCTGATGTCAGTTGTCCCACTTCAAGACCACTGACACCTATAATGGAATCTGAGGTATAGTTGCTAGTCTGTTTAAACTCTAGTCTTCATCTGAGAGCTGGACACTGACTCCCATATCAGTGCTTGGACTTGACTCTCCCAGGCCCTCAGGCAGGACCTTGATCTATGGGCACTGACCCTCGTTCACCTCCACACCTCATCTGCTCAGCCTGTCCTGCTGCTCTGGACAGAGTTCAGAATTCCTCTAGTGGAATTCTGGCCCCCACTCACCTCCATTATGACTCTGCCTGTACTCTGCCCCTTTGACCAAGACTCGCTGGTGTGATGGGGCAGTCGTACTATAGGCTGTCAGTATCAAGACAGAAGTAGCAAAGCCAAAAGCCACATCTGGACAGGCTTTAGACCCTGAAAGACCATGGGTGAGGCAAGAAAACCTAGACTGACAATTAGGCACAAAATTGTGAATTGTGGCCCTGACCAGAGTCAAAGACCAGAGGACACTAACTTCAGGGCTATGCCTGGAATACTGGGTCTGTCTTCCCTCCTGAAGGAACTTGCTCCTTCATTTCGTCAGTCAAGGAGTCTGTGCTCTCTGGGCACCTATTTTGGCCAGGCCCTAAGCTAGGGCTAGAGATATAGGCGAAAAGACAGACCCTTCCTTGGAGGAACTTACAGTTTAAGAGGAATACAAGTGGAAAGTCCATTCTCATGTATAGTACTGTGATAGGAGTAGCACAAGGAGTCAAAGAAAGAGAAGAGGCCCCTAAACAGACAGAGGAAGTCAGGGACAACTTTTTGGTGGAGGTAACACTTCACTGTAGCCTTTAAATGGGAATGGGTCCTACGGCGAAGGTCCCACTCCATGAGGACTCATCTAGGATTCTTGCCTAGAAGTTGGAGTACTCTCAGGTCTCCTGAAGGGTGAGAAAATTTGAGTGGGATGTGCTCTCTGGTTCTCCTCCCACATTTACATGGCTCCACCCTTGCCTTTTAGTAAGGCTGACCATGAAGCCAGTTTCAGATCCCATGGCTGAAACCAGGCTCTTAAGGGTTGTGGTGTTTTGCTGGTGCCTGCTCTCAGGGATACTTCTTAGCCTCACAAGCTTCGATTTCTTGACCTTCACCACTCATGACTTCCGGCCTACCTCTTTCTCCTGATTCTTAAGAGAACCATAGGCAGCCCTTCTCAAATTCATAGATAGCGTTCGTTCAGTAACACCAGGAACAAAGAAAGGAAATATGAAGGTGCGAACCTTGAAAAGTGAGGAAAGCCCTCCTCCTGGTCCCAGAGCTGCCCAACCTCCTCCTCCTCTGCCTCTGGTCCCGTCAACAACCATGCTTCTTAGGTGCCAGTCCTCACCATCTCTTCTACCCCTGGCCAATCATCTTCCCTTCCCTCACCTTAGACACTTCAAGGAATCAAAACAAAGTTGGCTTCTAATGTGGGAAGGGGAGGAGATGGGAATCTTCACAGTCACAGAGAACTTGGCGAGATTCGTGTTTATCTTCAAATAAAATTTCATTTATAATCTTGAAGACTGTCCTCAGTCATTTCTGACAGGCTAACAGAGATGGAGTGGATCCTGGGGTGGAAAAGGAACTGAAACACTTGTGGAACCCTGAGAAAACCTGGCGAGAAAATGTCTAAAGGGGTGGGGATGAGAACTCATGGGTGGAGGTGAATACACCTAGGGGGAGAGGTGAGAACGCCTTGGGTAGGAGGCGTAGGCTATTTTTCCTTCTCACTTTTCCTTGTTAATCCCTCCACACTCAGGTCTCTACATTGGCTGGCGCTGCCCCCATTACCTATGGGACTGTTTCCGGATTGGAGATGAGTCCAAATGCTTTTGTGGACACTTGCTGAAAGAGCACCAGATCATCTCAGGTAGGGAGAACTGACCAGCCCCTGCCAGCAGGGAGGGATAACTATACTCTGGCCATATGAGAGAAAGTGTGCGTGTTGGTATGAGGGAGGGGGTTGGCACAGGAAGGCCAGGCCCTACTAGGTGCCATTCTAATCCTCCATCTTTCCCCACTACCCCAGACATATCTGTGCCCTGCAATGTGGGCCAGTGTCGCTGCCTCATGTTCTGCTTTATCCCATCACGCCCAGAGGAGGTGGGTGAGTTCTGGCTCAAAAGACGAACTACCTTTGACCCCAAGGCCTGGAGGGCCCAATGTCGCTGCAAACACAGCCATGAAGACCATGCAGCTACTGGGTCCCATCCCTGCAGGGTGAAAGGTAATTTCTAGGGTGAGGGGAGTACAGGGGTGGGCATGGGTAGGATGCAAATAGTTTGGGGATAAGGATAGGGGAACTGGTAGAAGAAACTCGGGTTTGTGGTTGGTACGGAAGAGATGAGAATACAGTCAGCCCATGAGGAAGCCCCAATTCCCTATACTTGTCTTGGCTTCCTCCTCGCCCTAGGCTGTTGCTGCAACTGCTTTGAGTCTAATTTCCTCTGTGCGGCCTGTGACCGGCGCTGGGAGGAACACGAGACTTTCTTTGAGACTGAGGAGACCCGGCGACGAGGAGGGAGGCCTCATGGTGAGGGGGCAACCTAGAACGGGGGCGGTCATAGTCAGAAGGCTGGGCAGGAAGGTGCTCCCACCCTCAACCATCCCATCCAGGACTATCTCACCCTCTCACCTGCTGCACCCCATACTTGCCCTGGTTTCCACCTTCAGGAGCAGACTATGTGCCTTTTGCAGAGATGCCTACCCTCCGAGAAGCCATTGTCAGCAACTCTGACTCTGAGGCTCTACAGGAGCAGGGGCCCTCTGGCCGTCCTGGCTCCCACCCCAGACCCCCTGGGCCTCCTGGCCCACACAGCCTCTGGCCTGACCCTGTGTCTGACCCCCATACCTGACCCTTTCACCTCTGCTTTTCCCTCCTCCAGGGACAGACAGTGTCAACACCTGGCGCAGGCCTCTTTGAACCTGGCTCAAATCAGCAATAAAAAGGAAGCCTCTGGAATCTGGCCTGGTTCTGTATGGGGCAGATAGATCCCAGCCCAGGGATAGACACCCTAGGACCTTAGAGTTGGCACCTAATGGGGCCAAGAGAGAGCACCACACAGGAGACAGGCTGGATCAAGCCACCTGCCTCCACCAAACCCACATTCAAGATGCTAGCTCTGGCATCAGAAGGACAGAGTGGCTTCAAGCAAGCCAAGGAGGGAGGGGGTTTCCAGAAGGATAGAGTGAACACTGATGTTAGATGCAGGGGGGGATGTCAGTAATAAAGACTGGAAAATGTCCATTGGATTTTATAATTAGGTCTTTGGGTACTTCAGATAATGTGGTTTCAGTGGTGCAGTGGAGGCAGAAACCAAACAGCAGTAAGTTTGAAAGAGTTTGTTTAGGAAGCTTGGATGAAAAGAGCAGGAGAGAAGTCAGACAATATCCAGAGGGAGATGTGGAGTCAAGGAAGCATTTTTTAGGAGGAACCAGTAGAGAAAAAGATCTTGAAGGATGCAGAAGAGAGAGAGATGCCTGGTGAGACATCCCAGAGATGGAGGGAAGGAATGAGATCAGGGCAGAGGTGAAGGGATTTGCTCTGGACAGGAGAAGTACCACCCCCTAAGACCAAGAGGAAGAGAGAAAGAAAATGATGGGCCTTCACGGAGCTGCAGGAAGCAGGATCTTGTGGAAGTTCCCCTGTGAAATAGGAGACAAGGTCAGTTGCTGGTTGTGAAGGAAAGGGGTAAGAGTGGGGAGTAGGAGATAGAAAGAGAGAGGAGAAGGTTTGGGAAGGCTAATGTGGGGAATCACAGAAAAACCTAATCAGTGGGTAGTTGAGGATTCGGGTACAGCTGGAAGCAGGAACCTAAAGAGGAAAAGAAACACAATAGTTAGATTGATGGTTGATGATGGGAGGGTGTCAGGGAGGATGATCAGGAAAAGAAAGCACAAAGAAGGCTTGAGAATGTGGAGAGAGTTGACCATACAAACGGAAAGAAAGTAAAGCCAGGAAGCAACTGACAAATTGAAAAAAAAAGAACAAAGGAACAGAAGTCTCTAATGAGGTCCAGCAGCCAATGTAGCAGTGGGGATCAGTACTGGAGACAGTGGTCAGAGCCTCCAGAGAGCTGCAGCTCAGAGAGCAGCTGCCAGGTATCACAAAGGCTTGGAGTAAAGAACTGTGGGCGAGCAGCCAAAATCAGTGACTGTGGCCAAAATCAAAATCAGTTATTTTTTGAGGAGTAGGAGATTCTGGCACTAATGGGCTCTGTGATCCTAGGCAAGTCACTCTCTGGGCCTCAGTTTCTGGCTCTGTAAAAGAATAATCTCTGTGCTACCTGCTCTCCCTGAGAACCCAAAGAAATAACCAGTTTCAAAGTGCTTTGTCGTGGTCTACCGTGCCTGGCCGGTTTCCTTCCCCTTCCTAGATGCCAGCTCCTCTTATCTCTTGCGCTTCTCCAGAGCAGCTCCATGTGGTCTCAGAGACACCACAGAGAACTGCATGTAGCCTCTGGGGCACAGAAAAGGCCAGTCTACATTTCCCCACATTTGGGGAAGCTGTCTATACTTCCAAAGGAAGGGATGCAATCTGGACTGCTAGAACTCCTAGGGGGAAATCACAGGGTCAAATGTCTGCCCTTTGGAGGGAAAAAGGACTTTCTAACAATAACATGGCTATAGCAAAGATTGTTACTATCTCTGGAAGTAAAGAGTTGTTCTTGACGGGTGATACGCAATGAGCGCCATAATGACCATTCATTAAAACTAATTCAATAGTCAACAATAAAGGAATGGTTACTGTGATAAACTCATTCAAATAAATAATATGCAGAGGGTGCCTGGGTGGCTTAGTCAGTGGGCATCTACCTTGGGCTCAGGTTGTGACCTCCAGGTCTTGGGATGGAGCCCTGCATGGCATCAGGGCTTTCTGCTCAGTGGGGAGTCGGCTTCTCTCTCTCCCTCTCTCCCTCTACCCCATCCCACCGCTCATTCTCTCTCTCTCTCTCAAATAAATAAAATCTTAAAAATAAATAAGTAAATAAATAAAATGCAGACATTACAAATATATTTACATAGGCTATGTAATAATGTGGAAAATTGATTGTAAGGGGCAGAATAAGAATATATATGCAATACATATGTATTACATATTATGAAAGCAAATGAAACACCAAATGTTATTCATTCCACAATCATTGAGCACCTATCTATGTCAAGGACCTGTGCTAAAAAAAAAAAAACAACCAAAAAACCCTAAAGATACAGTGGTGGCTTCTGTCCTAAGTGTTAAATGTCGTACTAAAACTTAGCTGTGTGAGAATATTAGCATTTTGTGACCCCCGTTCCTCTGTCAAAAATATACATTCCAGCAAAACGAAATATACTTCTGACCTAGCCATGATGCATTTCCCTGGACCTTCAAACAGGTCTACCTAAAAATGCCAGGTGCCAGGCTAACTGCATCACACACCATTTCTGATAAGGAAAAAACACTGGATACCTATTACTTTGCTTATTAGTCGTGTGGCAAAGACAGGACACTCCCGCCGCACCCCCGTTTAAAAAGAAAGGGAAAAAATGCCCTGAAAACAAACTGCAGAATCTTCAATCTTGGAGTATGTACACAAGAACATAAACTAAGGAGGAACTGCCCTTAGATGAGTAAGTTAAAAATCTCTGAAATGCTCAAGGGGCTGAAATGCCCTTGTAGGGAAGAAGTTGGGTATCCGTCCCACCAGTTAAAGAAAGGACCCCGTCCCAGTTCACCTTCAGCCCACCCGCCTGGCGCCCCCGCCCGGCCCCCCCCTCTGTGGCCTTGGCCTCCCCGGCTTGCGGCGCTTCCCGGAGCCAGCCAGCGCCGAGCGCCCTCAGAACCCGCCCTCCCCCCGGCCAATGCCGGGAGACGGTCTACGACCTTCGGGACTCGGTGCCACACCAGTGTGCTGCAGCGGAGCCAACTGGAGGAAAACCCCACCTCTGGGTCTCTTAATCCTTCCAATGGAGTGAGACACTCTCTTGGCGAAACTACTTAGGGGGCCCAATGGCGAAGGAACCGTCACTCTGACCAGAAGTCTAAGCCAATGGAGTGGAACGCTCGCCCTCCAGCTGGCAGAAGAAGCCAATGGGCTGAAAAGATTCCACCTCCACGGTGGCGGCGGAGCCAGAGCAGTGAACGGCGCCACCCTCTGGGCTAAAGGGCAGCAAGCGGGCTCCGTGGCAGCCCCACCTCGGCCTGGCGGCGGGGCCGGCGTACTGGCCCGGGGAGAGGTTCGGCGGCTGAGGGGCAAGATGGCGGCAGCCCCGGTGCTGGCTGCCGGGGTGCGC